CCACGCACGCACGCACTCACTCACTCACTTACACACACACACACACACACACAGGTTTTTAATTACTCCTGTGATGGCATGCTACAGGTTTGTGTGACACGGGAAATGACGACTTGGAAATTCAGGGACGTTTCAGTGTGTGAGACCACAGTTTCCCCTAAACAAGCCTGAGACACACACTTTCCCCTGCAGAAACACAATCTCACTGTAATATCTGAGTTTCATACAGTGCTTTCAGTTATTGAAGCAGCAAACACGTCCTCTGCTTTGTCCTTGTTTTATCTTTATTTCTCATTGAACGTTGGGTCTGTTCTTCGGTTGTTCACGCTTGACTCTGTAGATGCTGGTGATTTCAGGCAGACATCACTCTCGGTTTCCTCACAAAATTTAAAAATCTAGTTTGAGCTGTTCATGTATTTCCTGATTTAGTTACATTGACTGGCTATGAGTGAGTATGTGTGTGTTTGTGTGATGAGGATCTGAGACTGTAAACACACACACACACACACACACACACACACACACACACGTGTGATGGGAGCAGATTCTAAACATATTTGAAACGGAGTTGCTTCTGAATGCATCCGCATCTGTGTGATTGTGAGGGAGGGAAACCATCCTGTGCATGAGGAATTTCACAGAGGAGTTCTGGCAAACGCTGGGAAAAGAGAAGAGTCAGAAGAGTGTGAGAAACAGAACGTGCACAGCGGTAAAGAGCTGCTCGGTTGGTTGGGGTTTTAATGCCACACCAGCTTCGTTGGCTATTGTCACGGCGAGAAACGAGTTGAAATACAATACAAGTGCTACTATAAAAGGTTTTAGATAAAAACTCTAAAATTAATTAAGGTTTGATTGCTAAAAATGTCTTCAAAAGTGTTTACAAAAGTAAAGAGAAAGAAACAAAAAGACGAAGGTTGCATGAATGAAGACAGATAATAAAAGCCCGATTGAAAAACAAACATGAAGCATTGCAAATGAAATCAGTTCTCTCCGGCTGGTAAACACCTTCAAACTTCCATTGGTTTGTGGTGATTGCATAACAGGTGGGTGTGGCTCTGAGGCTCCGCCTTCTGTGATGCGGAAATCTTCTGCTCCGTCGCTGAGGGCAGACGCCAGTAAAAACATGAACACACTGGAGAGCTGCTTTACAGTAGAAATTAAAGTTGCACTTCTAATTCTAAAGTGACACTGACTCAATTTATTTACATGTTCAATACTCTAAAGGTGCTTGTATTAAAGGAATAGTTCACCCAAAAATGAAAATCTGCGGTAAATGTGCTCACCCTCAGGCCAGCCAAGATTAAGATGAGTCTGTTTCTTCATCAGATTTGGAGAAATGTCACTTGCTCACCAATGGATCCCGAATTAAGCGTTATTATTGATTTGTATTTTAGTTGGAAGCAATGGTGCTCTCTCACTCACTGTGAGAGTGTGTGTGTAGTTTTTATGAGGTCAGTGAGCACACACACACACACACACACACACACACACACACACACACACACACTCTCTCTCACACACACACTCTCACACACACACACACTCACATACTCACACACACACACACACACACACACTCCCTCTCTCAGACACACACATATTCACACACACACACACACACTCTCTCTCAGACACACACATATACACACTCACATACTCACACACACACACCCTCTCTCTCTCAGACACACACATATACACAGACACACACAACAGCGAGATCTGCAACGTCAGTAACACACACACACACACTCACACATATACACACATACACACACAAACACACACACACAGACACACACAATACTCTCACACACACACACACACACATACTCACACACACACACACACATACTCACACACACACAAAGAGCTCCATCCTCAAAGACAAACACTCTTTGGGTGTAAATGACCCTGAAAGCGCGTGGAATTCTCTCTCAGCCGGGACAAAAAGTACACAATGCAGGGGCGCAGGCCGCGAGCAAACGCTTTCACACATGAGACCCTCCGAGAACAACAGCTCAACAATACGGTGCTGGCGAGATTCTCTCTGTGGATCGGTCAGAGAGCCGCGAGAGACTTCAGAGAGCGAGAGACCGCCGGCGTGAAAGAGAGTTTGACAGCAGAGTCTTTCATCTGCTGCAGGAGGGGACTGTGGGAGTGCGATTACATCAGCGGTCGTAACTCTACATGTACTCACAACACACACACGAGTGTTTGGAGCTCTGGTGCTGGTGTTAAAGTGCTTCGGTCAGCAGTCAGCAGTGTGAATCCACCAGCATCTGCTCTGAGATTAAACCCTCAGCGGCTGAGAAACAGTACAAAACACTGAGACGCTCAGCAGGACAAATAAGAAATATTAGTTTGTTTTTTTTCAGCTGCTTACACACATTTTCAAAACTTTGCCTCTTTTTTTTCAAAACTTTACACACAAATCCAAGAATTGCACACAAAATGCAAAATGCCTCACATCTCTTGCAAAATGAAGTGCTGCATTCAGAACATCACAAACACATCTCAAAAGCAAACATCTTTGCCATAATATTAATTCCTGTTAGATTTGTGTGTGTTGCATAGAGAAGTGTGTGTTGTGTTTTGCAAAAAGTGTTTTCTGAAACTGAAAACCGAGTCAAAGGCTGGGAATTAGTGTATGGTTTTGTAGATTTGGTGTGTGCTTCTGCTGTTTGAGTGTCAGCTTTCAGAAACTGTGTGACTTTGTGTGAAAGCAGCTGAAAGAACTGTAATCTGGGGAAAATCTGAACAAAAAAAATCCATAAGCAGAGCTTTGCATTAGTATGGAAGTCTGTTTCTGACACAGAATAAAAAAAATCTGAATTGCGATTTTTTTTATCATAATTCAGACTTTTCTTCACAAAAGTACAATAAAAAGTCAGAATTCTGAGATATCAACTCACAATTCGGACTTCTCAGGATTTTGAGAAAGTTTTTTATTCATTGAGGAAATGGGCTTCCATACATTCAGCTGGTGAACACGCACTGAGAAAATATAAGCAATTATCAAATTCATTCCTAGTAAATTTCACAAATAATTACAAAGAAACGGCAAGTAACAATGAATTAAATGTGATATTTTGAAGAAGACTGAAATTGACAAGTTTAATTTTTTATTATTTTATTTTATTTTATAAAAAATAAATGTTACATAATATAAATATGAAATTAATAAATTAATTAATTAATTAAAAATAACAAATTATATATATATATAATTAATAAAAACTAAATAAAAAAAAACCTGTCATGCTGGACGAACTTAAGAAATATTAATGGTCTCCACTGGGGATTTTGCTTTTGTGGGAGAGCAGGGGGCCTGCTCCAAACTGTCACTCTGGCTAATTTCATTGCCTAGCCTTTTAGCCCATGGCAATGACAGAGCCTTGGCCAGGATGCTGAATGTGTGTGGCTTTGTGCAACTGCTCCCTGGTCTCCCTCAGACCCCACCCTCCATATGCCTTAATGTAATCAGCCTGCCAGAACAGAGTTCAGTCGCTTCAGATTGCATTTTTTTCAATATTAAATACTTGTATGAGACTGAGATGCATATAATCTACTTTTCCCCAAAGTATAGAGGGAAAATTAGAAGATACAGTGTAGTTACTTGTTTCAGGACAAAATTGGTTGGTTATGTCTTGCTGTGACAAAGGTCTATATGTAAGGGTTTTATTTTGTGACGATGGCCAGTTCACTATACATTATCCTGCTTATTATGACTTGGTACCAAAAATTTTATTAAGTTTAATTTTTTATTATTTTATTTTATTTTATAAAAAATAAATGTTACATAATATAAATATGAAATTAATAAATTAATTAATTAATTAAAAATAACAAATTATATATATATATAATTAATAAAAACTAAATAAAAAAAAAATATATATATATATTTTTTGTAAAACATACTCCAATAATCTTGGTTTAGAAGTTCAAAAAAATAATTTTTACAGTGTTCTGTTTACTATGAACTTCAAAACCTCAGCCAGTACAGCATCATAACTGATCGCGCTCCTGTGCATCACAGCCTGACACACTAACACCAGATTAACACGCTGTTTGATTCAGTTCACACCTCTCTGATACTCATGTATTAGCACGTTAAGAGGAACAATAGCGGCTGTAATTACTCACACACACATGCTAATGGAGCCGACACACAAACAATCCCTGAGTGCCTGTCAAAGACCACAGGACAGAACAATAGCAGGGAATGATGGCCATTAAAGAGCTTCAGCGGGAGCAAATATATGCTTTCACACACACACATCAATCACAAACTCACAAACATGACTGCATGAAGAAAACCCTTCTGGAAACTTTATATTTAATGCTGATGAAACATAACCAGCCAAGCACACACTGCAGAAGTTAAGTTTAAAGTGTAAATGGCAAATATGTCTAATAAAACATCTGTACTTGGCATCTGGATCATATAATAAATAACTGAGAACAGCACTTACACACACTGTGCAGTATGAAGGGCGGTCATTCAAAACAAACAAACAAAATATAAAAAAAATGATAATAATCAGAGACGATAAATCTGAGGAGGTAGAGTTTCCCAGCTGAACAACAAACTTCTCAATCATGGGCGCGTGAGTATTTGCTGAGTGGAAACAAATGAGAAACACCTGCTGCTGACAGAAACTGTAAAAGTCCTCCGATTCTCGTTAGGAAAATCCTGCTACTTCACACCGGTTCATTTAGAGAGACTCAATAAATGAGAAACACAGAGATGTTTTTACTTCAGGACTACAACACACCGAGCCAGCAAAACACGAGAGTGTGAACACGTTTCTGAAATAAAGAGACGGACAGTTTGATTACGGAGCATTCACATGCATGTTAATATGCAGTAATGTTATCAATTTAACTGCACTGACACTATCAGATGAGAACAAAACTAGAACTGGAAGGATCTGAATGAGTTTGTTTCATAATTGATGAATTTTACAACACTAATGGAATAGTTCACCAAATTTGCTGAAAAAGATTTGGAGAAATGTAGCACTGCATCAGTGTCTCAGCAATGGATGCTCTGCAGTGAATGGGTGCCGTCAGAATGAGAGTCCAAACAGCTGATAAAAACATCACAATAATCCACAAGTAATCCACAGCACTCCAGTCCATCAGTTAACATCTGGAGAAGTTCTGTGCAGATTGCTCTCCTGATTCAGACCAGAACACTTTTTCACTGGAGGAAGAATTATTATGGATTATGAACTCTATGTATTTTAGTTAAAAACATCTTAATGCTGGATTTGTCTCAGCTTTTGTCTTCTCCAGATGTTAACTGATGGACTGGAGTGCTGTGGATTATTGTGATGTTTTTATCAGCTGTTTGGACTCTCATTCTGACGGCACCCATTCACTGCAGAGCATCCATTGCTGAGACACTCATGCAATGCTACATTTCTACAACCCTGATGAAGAAACAAACTCACCCTGATCTCAGATGAACTGAGGGTGAACACATTTTCAGCACATGTTCATGTTTGGCTGAACATTTCCTTTAATACTGTTATTTTTCCTGCCGAGTACAGCACTGTTTACTGTACAATCACTAAAATAAACCACGTCTGACATTAACATCTGAGCTCCAGCAGCATGCAAATGAATCTTAATCACAGTAAACAACATATCTATATAAATGTGATTGTGTTGTGCGTTTGCATCCTACCTGCATAGAGCTGAATTTATTTCAGTAAGAGTTTTGCTGAATGCATTCTGTAGAAAGCACACTATATAAAACAGATAGTTCCGGTGCTTGATTCTGATTGGCTGAGCCGCGTTCGAAGCTGTTGTAAATGACTCTACAAAGTAACATACTCCTTTGTTTACGTTTGTCTGTTGCTCGGCAACCACTTTGTTGCAACCACAACTGTTTCTGAGGAGCTACATTGTTTGGTGGAAGAATACTGTTTTTATTAATATCATTACACTTTATTTGCTCTGTTTTATTTTGTGAAACCTTACTACGTATATGGAATAACCGTTTTATAAAAGCAATAAACCCCGTGAAACCTAACAACGCCCCTTAGCTGTTATAAATTCACTGTAAACCACGGCTTCACGGGGATTATTGCTTTAGTAACCGCGTGTCACACAAAATCTGATTTGAAAGTGTACATGAGCAGCAGAAACAGCCAGCTATTTCATTTCGGCTTCTCTCTAAACTGTGAGCAGAAGCAGTTTTCAGCCCTATCCTCTGTGAGCTCCAGCGCTGGTTCTGCGTGAGACTCGTGGCTCTGCGGCTGAAGGTTTGTGTTTGAGCCGCTCCGATCGCTCCGAGACTCGTCTGTGATCGCAGCGCTGCGAGGCGGCAGATTTAAATGTGCCCCATCTGTACAAACACCATTCATCATTACTGGCCGTGTTTTTGAAATCCAGTGCGATTTGGCAGCGAGATTATTTTCTCTAAGCTTTAAAGTTGTTTAACGCCACAAAGTGGTAAGCATTAAAAACACCAGTGGAATTCGAGGTTGAGGCGCGTTAACGGCGCCAGAAGTTATGAAAGCATTTGGCCGGTTCTTACAGTTCCTGATTTTGTCCTGAGATCCAGCGAGGACTCGAAAGTTCAATGATCTGTCTGAACTGAGCTGAATATTAACACTGCTGTCTTTTAGCACTGCTTTACAGAACATAGTTGAGTTTCCATCATTGATTTTGCTTAGGGATGGTAGATATGGCCTACATACATAAATATGTGACCCTGCAGCACAAAAGCAGTGTTAAGTCGCTGGGGTATATTTGTAGTAATAGTCAACAATACATTGTATGGGTCAAAATTATCCATTTTTCTTTTATGCCAAAAATCATTAGGATATTAAGTAAAGATCATGTTCCATGAAGATATTTTGTAAATTTCCTACCGTAAATATATCAAAACTTAATTTTTGATTAGTAATATGCATTGCTAAGAACTTCATTTGGACAACTTTAAAGATGATTTTCTCAATATTTAGATTTTTTTGCACCCTCAGATTCCAGATTTTCAAATAGTTGTATCTCAGCCAAATATTGTCCTATCCTAACAAACCATACATCAATGGAAATATTATTTATTCAGCTTTCAGATGATGCATAAATCTCAGTTTCACAAAATTGACCCTTATGACTGGTTTTGTGCTCCAGGGTCACATATATATATATATATTTTACACGTCTGTATTTGATAATGAATGTAAACAGAACTTGTTTGTTTAACAATTAAACTCCACAGAGTAGCTTTTTTTATTATTATTATTATTTAGGGTCCCATGAAATCCATTTTATTTTTTATTTAAATTATGTGTTTTCCATTTTTCTGGATTTTGCGTTTTTTATGATTTAACACAAATTTATCATCAAAAATCATGTCTAATGAAATGAATTAATACGATTTAGAAATGTTATCTTTTAAAATGTGATCAAACGATAATATAACAATTTACGGCAAAATATTTTTTCCAAATAAGTAAATGCACAACAGAAATGTCTAGATTAAAACATATGCTGATTGTATGACACTCCTTAAAAATAATATCCTTATTATTACTACAACTCCAAAGCTTATCGTCATTATCCACGTACATTTTATTGCGATCTCAATATGATATTATTGTTTGTTATATATATTTTTTATATATAAGTCTGTTGTGTTCCTGTTCATCTCTGTGAATCTGTGAAAGAGTCTGTGTACTGTGTAAACGCTAGAAGACCGAAGCCGCAGCATTACTTGCGTGATATAACCATCATAACATACAGTAGGATCTTTAGCAAGCATCTTTATGCAGTGGTTTTACTGTAAGCATGGAGTGTAAAACTAATGGTAATAACGCAGTGAAACTGTGTCATACAAAGAAATTATGTGCAAAATTCTGCTGTAATCAGAAACAATAGAGAATCAATCCAATATTAATAACTGATTATATTTAATGTATGTTTTTTGTTTTTCTATGTTTTTTTTTTTTCGCAGTCGTTTGCTATTTTTTGCCAATTTTTTTTTTTTTCAGTTAAATACTTTAACCAAGCCAGTGTTTTCTTCTTCTCACATTTCAACTTTGTAGGGTCATTAAAAGCATATATAGAGAAATCTCCTCTCCAGAGCCACTACTGTTTGACAGAAACACAAAATCACAAAACAATATTACACTGAATTGACTGGAGCTGAATAACGACACTACTGTATTTACAGCAGAATTTGGATTTGTCTCATATTTGATGAACATTTGCGATTTTACCGTTTATTAATGTAAAGCTGCCTTGAAACAATCCGTTTTGTATAAAGCACTAGAGAAATACATGACAAAACTACACAATATCATGAAGTTTGCATGGCATTGTGTATTATTGTATTGTATTGTACTGCCATAATGACACTGTTGTTTTCTGTAGAGCTGCTTTAACTGAATCAAATTCATTTCGCAATTAAGGAACTTTGCAATAACACTGGGATTGTTATTGAACTGAACAGAATAATGACTCTATTGTCTTCTGTAGAGCTGCTGTACTACTGATATTGAAAATATTGATATATTTCGCAACATTATTTTCCCATTTATTACAGTGAAGCTGCTTTGAATCTGTCGGTATTGTATAAAGAGCTTTTTTTTGCGCTCTGAAGGACTCTGGTAATTGCAGGGCACTAATAGAGCGACACTCGTCTGACTTCAACAAGGGTCAGATTCAGACGAGATCCTTTACGCTCAAATGGCTTTTAATAACACAAGACACTCCGAAAGCAGAACGTTTGTACAGCTGACACAGAATCAGGCTTGCATGCTAGAGATTTTCCTCCACACTCATTCTCTGACGACAGAAAAGCAGCTAATGCACTAATGCAACGGCAGAGGAGACTTTGACACAAACCCTTGAAAGCTACTGTACATTATTGATCTCATTTGCTGTCATTAATAATGTTTCAGCATTATGTCATCCTCTAGATTTCAGCATCAGCCATTAAAATTCCCAAACACTAGTTTCCTGATAAACAAAATCTGGTAGGACAGATGCTCAGCTCACGGTTTTGCGTTCAAAGGCACTGCTTTTTAAGTGTCTTTCTTCATGAAAAAGCACTAGATGGACATCCTTGACTGCTGTGATGCTTTTAAAGTGCATCACATGTTTTTAAATGCATGCATACATCATGTGTCAAGCGCCCCAAACACGTCACAATAAAGCCACACGTGATAAAAGTGTGCTCTCCGTTGTAAATAAGCAAGCACAGCACATTGTGATGGTCACACGGTTTGTATATCTGCTACACTACCAGTCAAAAGTTTTTCAAGTTTTGAGAAGTCTCACCAAGGCTGCATTTATTTGATCAAAAATGCAGTAAAAAACAGTAAAATTTTTTAAACAATTAAATTTAAAATAGCTGTTTTCTATGTGAATATATTGTAAAATGTCATTTATTGTGTCACATGAACCATTCTTTGCTGCTCAGATATTATTGGTGCTCAATTGTAAATAATATTATTTACTCATAACAATATTGTACAACTGTTTTCAGCATTGATAATAATCAGAAATGTTTCTTGAGCAGCAAATCACCGTATTAGAATGATTTCTGAAGATCATGTGACACTGAAGACTGGAGTAATGATGC